AAAGAGGAAGAGGAAGAAGAAGAGAAAGAGACAGAGACAGAGACAGAGACAGAAAAAGAGGAAGAGAAAGGCCTTAGAAGGGCCATATTCCAGAAGACAAGCTAACAGTTACCTGAGGAGAAAAGGTGAAAGAAACAAGTGGCATTAAAATATCTGAGTCACCTAGGAAAGTCCAATTTTCCTTTCTATTTCAGGAGTGTCAATGCACCTCTGCAGAATAATGAAAAGGACGTAAATTGAATAAAAATATCACCACGCAATCTCGTGTTGAAATGTATGCATGGATTTAAGGCCTCCCTCCAGGCTCTTCTGCCCTCTCTCTCCTGAGCTCTAAGCTGGATTTGACCTTCTATAGATTGGCACTGCCAATGTCTGCAGACCTTTGCAGGCTGCTCTTCTTGTAGCTATGACTCAATATTTGAAAATGTGATGTCAACTCTTCTCAACCATTCTCACGTCTGGGGTTAAAGGTGAAGATCTCATGAGGAATGCCTCTGAACTGAGCTGACCTGAGAGCATGGGTAAGGACTTGGGCTCTTTGCTGCAGATTACGGTCAATAGGATGCCAGGATCCACTTAGCACAAACAACCTAAGAAAGCTCTAAAGAAAATGTGGTAAGGAGAGCAGATAATATTTACTGTCTATTAGAGAATTTCTGAGAATTAGAAAGTAGAAAAGAGCGAAGGTTATTCTTGTATATTGTTTTCATCAATAATTCTTGGAAATTTCAGAGTGAATATTGTTAAAGCCCTGTTTCTAGAAAGACATGAGGAGGTTCTGAAGCCAGAGTTCTATGTATACTGACATGAATTTCATACTTTGCCCCCCCAAATAAAATAAGGTATATGTCGTTTAATCGCATGCTGACCAAGAAACACCTCCACAACTCCCCCCAAAAGAAGAAATGCTGGACTTACGTTGGTGACATATTCGATGTCCTTCCAAAGGATGCACTCCCTGGGGAAATCAGCCAAGTCTAAGAAGTGGTCTACCACCACCTGGCCGATTAAGTCGTGGCGGGAGAACCTGTCAAAGTCATACACAGAGAAGTGCAGTTTCCGGGCCTCAAGGTCGTTGTAGGGAACCGGAAACAGAAACACTTCGTCAAACACAGGGTTCAGGGTCTTCCTGTGAACTTTGGTCTGGTGTTTTGTTTTCCGATCCGGAAGCAAATAGATCTTGACGTAAGGATCTGAGGTCCCAGAAAAGTCCTTGGCGGGCAAATTGACGGCTTTGTGAATCTTCACTATGAGCTGCTCTAGGTCACAGTCATATTTTAAAATAAAGTTCAGTTTCCCACAGGCTTTGCTGTTACTCCTTCTCCCATCATCGCTGTCCAGTGACCTCTGCTTGTATAACTCTGGTTTAATGCGGCCGATCCCGGCCAGCTGTTCTTGTTTTTGCAGTTGCTGGATATTGAAGTCCGGGTTCGACAGGTTGAGTTGTCCTCGGATTGAATTATGCCTTCAGGGAGGAGCAAGAGAGGACAAAGTTATCACCTCATTAGCTACGGGTCTTTCAGAAACCTGTGCCTGGGATCTAGGTAGACTGTTATGCACTGTTAAAAAACTTAGATCTGTGGGCCCTTTTTTTTTGGGGGGGGGGGTTAGATTCAATATGCTCATCAATGTGAGTAAGCTTCTCCCCGAGGCTTGAAACCCAAAATTGAGGGTTGTTGTCAGGAAATGAAATGATTACCTGTGACCTTGAAGCTTTAAAGGCTTAATGCACTTTCTCAACTGATAAACCATTAAGAAAGCTTATCTGGCCGGTGGGATGTAAAGATTTGTTCACACTGGTTTAAAAATAAAATTATTCACTTTTATATACAATGTCATCCTGAAACTGAAATAACTGTCTGTGTGTCTTCTTAAGAAGAATGATTCTGTCTCTAAATTGCACAGACTTTCCTATCACTGGCTTACTGCTTTCTAAGGCTATATATTCTTACTGCTTCAAATCAGATCATTTCCTCACAAGAACACAAATTTTGCTTGTGTGAGGGTGGATGTATGGGACAGGACGTGTCTGCTCGCAGTGGACCGCGTCGGCTCTGACAGGGGCGAGTGACAGCTCTGTGAGTGTCTGCAACGCCACGTGGGTAACTGCTGAGCAGCAGGAAGAGTTTATTTCTGTAATAAACACTATGGGCATCAGAGGGAAGGGAAGCTGCTAAAAATGTATACAAGGATTCAGTCAAGGAAGGTTGGATACCGACACTTGCAAATCAAATATTTGCTAACAGAATCGACTCTTCACCCAGTACTAGTGAACTTACTGGTTAGGGCTAGAAGCTTCCCAGAAATTCTCTTTGAAACGTGCATCATCGTGTGGGTCTTGGTGAACGGAAAGAAGCAGTCATTACATACAAGATTTTTCTTAAGGCTATTTTTGTTTGTTTTTAGCTCAGATTTCAGAGTCATGATACTGTATTTTCTGTAGTCTCTCAATAATCTTAATTAAAATAGCCTCTCGCCACCAGGTCAAAAGCAACAGCTGGCCGTCTTGGATGGATTGGTAAATATGTAGTTGGAGAGGCAGAATAAACATTTGAGGTGATCTTGTTTTTCTTTCTGAAGGCTACTTTATAAAAGAAAGATGTAAAAGTGGGATAAATAGCCACCGAGACATGGTTAAAACTATTCTCCCTTGTCGTTCAGTTGTTGCTATGCTGAACATTCCTCTTTGTCCTAAAATACACTCCTAGTCACTGAGCTGGTATAATAACAAGAGCACAATCACAGAACTGCCATTTGCACCTGTCACAGCCAACACAGTCCCCCACAAGCAGACACATACCCCAGGCACGGACATTGCCACGTGGGTAAAAACTGTGTGGTCTGAAAGTTTCTGCTGTGAGATGTAAATCTCTTTTGCAGAGAAATCCACAACCTTAAGTTTCCTCTGTATCTCTTATCTCTGATTTTTCAGGGGTAGGGAGAGAGATGGCAGATGCTCTTAAGCACCTCAATTGCCTCTCTGTGCAAGTATAGCCAAGTCACTCCCTTGTGGAGATGCTAACCTCTGGAGTGCTAGAACAGAGCTTTAGTCTTGCTCTGCTGGGATCTCTGGGCAGAAATGACTGGCAGGGAGCAGCGAGTACCCCGCCCTATGCAGAGGCCTTAAGGGGCTGGTACCGGCTCTGGCTTCCTCTGCTATTGCTTTTTCCCTCCAGGCTGACTTCACACAAGGGCCACATTGGGGTCTGGAGTCAGTTCACATCTATGATGGCCATTCTGGGAACTCCCAGTGACGCTGTTTAAATACTAAAAGTGCTCCATCTAGACCCATGGGATACGCCTTCTCTGCACCAGCGTCTGTGATGGGACGCTGGTCCTGAGTCCACGCCAGCCCCAGACTCTGCTGTCACTTCTCCCCTGAGGTGCTCTGAGCAGGCTCTCTGTGCATCGCAACTTACCTTCGATGTTTTGGAAAGACTGGCTTCAGATTCATCACAGGAACATTTTGTCTTAACCCTTATCTGCAGGACGAAGCCAGCCATGTACATTTACATTTTAATTTAAACCTACATGAAGTTGGCTGCTTAGCAATGGAACATACTCTGTTTTCCTCGTGCATTTTCTTAAGACATGAAATCTGAAGAGAAGTAAGTCCTACGTGTTCCGCTGTTCCCGGCCAGGGGGTAGACAGAGTGCATTGGGGAGGGCGTTAGGGAGAGGTTTGTATTTCAAAGACCAAAACATCCCCTCAGAAAGCAATTAGGATGCCTCCATTCCAAATTCCAACACAGCTGAAGATTTCTTTTAAAAATTGAGCGCAGGTATGAATACTATTATCCACCCAAATGTTATATATGAGTTTCATTCCCAAACTCCCCCCGCCCCCATTCAGAATCACACTTACTTTGGGGAAAACAGTGGAACCCACTGTAAGGCAGTGGCTTAAAGCAGAGAGCAGGGACTGTAACAGGCCAGGATAGTCCTCACTCCCTGGGGCTCTCTTTCAGTCGCTTTCAATTTCCTTTCAGGAGAGAGTCAGCGATTCCTGGAGTTGGAGGCATGGGCTAGAGATGCTCAGGGCAGCCAGAGAGCCAAGGTAACTCATCACCTCCCTGCATCCTCTCTGCAGCTCTCTGGACTGAGAAATGAGAAAGTAGAGCAGGGAGCCTGCCCCAGGGACACGGAGGAGAAGGGAGGTAGAGGAAATGGAAAATCAATATTCCATGGCTCTCCTGGGCTATTCAAATGGAGTTGGGAGGATAAGCAAGTCAACAGCAAGACAGAGGAAAGATTCAGAACAGAGTGTTGTGGCCTGGCTCTGGGCACCCAGATGAGGAATTCTGAAATGGTCAGTGGAGGTGGTACTTGAGTGCACTAAACTAGAGGCCTTGCCCCGCCCACCAAGGCTCTAGGATTTGAATGCTGCTGAGTGACACTGAGAGTGTGATAAGGAGGGATCTGAGGCAGGCGTCCACTGAGCAGGGCTGGGGAGTCCAGTATTTTGGTGTTCTCAGGGCTTAATGTATACAATGAATGGAAGAGGAGGTGAGCCCCAAGGATGGGTGTGATAAGGAATGCTGTACCTACATTTCACCCTAACGCTGTCTTAGAAAGCTGGCCCTGGCGTTAAAACTCTCAGCGTGGTCCACCTCCCATTAGAGGCCAGTTTCCTATCTGAGAGAGGCCAGGATGAGAACCTCCTGGACGTGGCTGTCCCAGACCCGAGCTGGAAGACTCATGGCTGGGCCTGAAGAAAGCCTAATTTCAAAGATGACTAAAAATCTATGAAGCAGACTTCCCCTAACAAACTCAAAAACACGCTTCCATGCCTGAAGGGATCTGAGCCTGTGGTTCAGTTGCAGCTAAAGGTCAGGAGCCGCAGATGCCCAAATGCAAGTGGCTTTTCCTCCCCTCCTTCCCTCAGATTCAAATGAACCATATCCAGCGTCCCACGTTGAGACCCCCAAAGTCTCAGTCCCAGAGCCATCACCCAAAGGCCAACTTCCTCCACTGGATCTTAAGAAAGAGAACATTACTTTGATTCAACAAATTTGGATGTGCAAAGCAAGGTGTCAGGTAGGGTAAGAGGGAGAGAGAGGCAAACCTCTTCAATGCCTTCAAGGAAATGACGCCCAGGCAGGTGATGAGATAGTCATACACTAACTATAAATCAGGGCAGAGAGGGATTAAAAACCCCATGACTGGAGGTTAGAGAGCCACAGAAGCAGGCAGAGGGGGAAAAAATGCCTCTGGCTTGGGAAACTGTCATGGAGGAGATGGAAATTGAGCTGAGCCTGTCTACTTAACTTGGCTGCATCCTTATCAGCCTTCAAGCTGACACTCTAGACCTCAACAGGGAAATTAACTGTGTTTTCCTCTTGGTCCCCAGCTCTCCAGCAAGATGAGGTCTCCAGCTCCTCTGCCCCAGCAGCCTTCTCCTAACATCTGGCACTCGGACCACCAGCACCTTTCCCATCACTGGATTTCCCCTGTGCAGCCACAGACAAGGGTACACTCTTCTATCCTCCTGCCTCTCAGGGCCCCCATCTCAGAGGTGAAACTTGGTCGATCTCTTCCCTAGTTCTGGGGCATCCATGCTGACAAGGCTTCAGGGTCCAAGGAGAGGGAAGAGAGAAGCAAATTGTTATTTCGGAACCATCATGAGTTTCTTTACTAAGTTCAAGTCAAGACAGGGAGGTTTGGAAACAGTGGAGACAGGACTCTGTTTCCCTTCTTGAAACTCCCCTGGTGATGGGGAGGAGAGAGTTGGGTTGTCCCGATCCACGGGCAGACACCGAGGAAGGGGAGTGGCAGACAGGACAGACGCAGTGACCTGATTACAGGGCAGGATGGGGAATCTGAGGCTTTCCTGTAATGGGATTCACAGGCTTCTAGAGCGAGTGAGATAATGATGATGGAGGCATCAGGCCTTGGCCAGTGGAGGTGTGTGGTCTGGTATAGTTAGATACACTAAAGCATAACCAGCTTCTTCCCACTTCCTCCCAAGCAAAACAGGTTTAAAACCTTGGTGTCACCTTCCAATATTGTGCCCCCCAAGACTAAGATGAACCTATGTCCCCCATTCCTGAGTTTAGCCTTAGTATGTCCTCAATTAGTCTGCGGGCATTTGAGGCCAGAGTTGTATCTTTTTTTCTCATTATTAGCATATAATGTAGAACTCTGCACATAGCAGATGCTTAATGCATGCCTCTAAAGTAAATATAGGAATGCCACAGACATAACAGTTTCCTATAATTAAATCCCAGTACAGAAAATACACATTTACATCTAGCTGAGAGGTCTACGTAACTTCCACTTTTGAAGATGTCAATATATTAAAATCTGAAGAAGTAACTAAAAGAGTAATTCAAAAAATTGTTTTAAATGTTTCTATCTAACCAATGCTCTCAACACAAAACAGTCTAGCTTAATAGAATTGTGCTACTCACAGAGTAATTACAACACTTCATCCTAGTGGCACCATGTATGTAGCAAGTAATAGGATGATTTAAATTTAAAGTATGATGACTATCTTCTTTCAGTTTGGTCAGTGTATTCGGTGACTGTAGGAATTGCTTAGTTCAGAGATAAGGCCGGGAGTCTGAATGTAAGGCTCTTAATGAATGTGAGACCTGGTACACCAGCCTCATACCATTCTGGCCCCTACTCAGTTTATACTTTTGGCTCTTTGCCAGTCCTGTCAGCAGAACACAGAGAAGTGGCCTGATGTTGATGAATGTGTTGTCAGTCATTCACAAAAAAAGTCTGCTATGTGCCAGAGGCCACACCTGGGGTTACATATTTAGGGAGAAATAAGGTAGGGGGGCGGTCTTTGAGCTCGCAGAACTCATAGTCTAGAGCAGTGGTTCTCAACCTTCTGGCCCTTTAAATACAGTTCCTCATGTTGTGACCCAACCATAAAATTATTTTCGTTGCTACTTCATAACTGTAATGTTGCTGCTGTTATGAATTGTAATGTAAATATCTGATATGCAGGATGGTCTTGGGTACCCCTGTGAAAGGGTCATTTGACCCCCAAAGGGGTCGTGACTCACAGGTTGAGAACCACTGGTCTAGAGGGAATGCATCTAGTTTAATAAAAATGAGAAAGGTGACGTCAACCATAGACAAGGATGGGACCAAATAATGTTAGATTCAGACTCTGCCATTTACAGCTGGCAGCCTTGGGCAAATGATTAAACCCTTTCTCCTCTTTCACCCTCGAGCTTTTTCACGCAAGCCTCCTACTGAGTCCACGTTGACAGTGCCCCCTGGGCTGTGCCACGCGGTGGCCTGGCCTGAGCGGTGGGCTGACAGCGGACAGAAGCGGCACACAGAGCCTCCACAGATCTGATAAGGAGTCCGTGGTGTGGCAACTGAAGTTTTTATAAAACTCCAGAAAGTGATGTCCTAGGATGAAACGTAATCACCCTGTGAGCAGCACAATCCTATTCGGCTAGACTGTTTTGCATAGGGAGCATCAGTTAGACAGACACATTTAAAAGAACCGCTTTTGAAGTACCCATTTAGTGCTTGCTTCAGATTTTCATAAATTGACAGACAGCTTCAAAAATGGACCTCAGACCTCTCTCAACCACCATGAGAACCTGAAACTAGATGTAAATGTGTATTTGCTCTGCTGGGATTTAATTATCAGAAATGATTATGTCCATGGCATCCTTATGTGTACTCTAGAAGCACACATCATAGATGACAGAGGAAACTTGAGAAGGCTTGAAAAACAGATTGGACCTGCATCGTGGGACGTAAGTTAGAGACGGGAGTAGATGGCCTGACAAGGTTCCTTCTGTTTGGAGGATCCAGGGTTTTCATATATTTGGGATA